GCGCGGCCAGGCCTCATCAAAGGTCTGGGGGAGGGGAGAGGGCTGGTGTCTAGGGAATGCTCAGGGATTGTGGGTTAAACAGTTAGGATTAAGGGACTCTACTTGGGATTCAGTTAAAGTCAATCAATTTTAATTGATCACCTACTCAGGGCCATGTTCTCTCTTTGGGATCATGGAGGGGTAGTGATGAAAGGGAGCCTTTGAGTATCTTATCACCTAATAGGAAATAAAGTCATTAGCTTAACCAGCACCTACTAAGTGCCTAGAAATGTGCTAAGCATCAGGAACACAACATAAATAAGTCACAGTCCTTGACCTCAAGGAGTCTAATGGCAGACATGAATGCATTAGCAAATAAATTCTGATATGTGTAGATGTGTGTTCAATGAACAGAGACCTTCCAGGAGAGGGAGTGAGGTGGTGTATAAGGTGGTGAAATGAGGCTTCCTGGACTCATCTGAGAAGGCTTTTGAAGGACAAATAAGAGGTTTTCAGTTATATTAAGGAAATGAAAGAATTCCAGGCAGAAGAACAGCTTGCCTAAAAGCATGCAGACACAGAGGAGCATATTGTGTCCTTCGAATCACAAGTAATTTGGAATGACTGGGGCATAACGTTCAAAGGAAGGAGGGGCAAGAGATGATACTGGAGAAGCTGGCATGAGCCAGACTGTGGTGGTCCTTGAAAGCCATTTTGAAGTGTTTGGACTGGGTCCTGAGGGCAATCAGGAGCCACCAAAGGGTTTTGAGTAAGTGAGGAACATGGTCAGCTTGTCATTTCTGAAGGTTTACTCTGGTTGCTAATGTGGATGGGCTAAAATGGGGGAGAGAACAGAGGCAATGAGTCCAGGAGGAGGCTGACATTGAGTCCAGGTGAGGGATGATGGTTTTCTGACCTACAGTGAGGGAGTGAGAATGGAGAATGTCAGTAGGAATGGATCAGTGTTCTCCACCAAGGCTGTTTTGCCTCACAGGAGACATGTGGCAACGTTTGGAGACAGTTTTGGTTGTCACACTGGAGGGTTATTATTGGCATTTAGTGTGTAGACCCCAGGATGTTGCTACACATCCTATAATGCTGCAGGACAGCCCTCCACAGCAAAGAATTATATGTCCCCAAATGTCAATAGTGCCTAAGTAGAGAAACACTGGGAAGGAGAGAAGGGGCACATTTGAGAAATATTTAGGAGTAATGGACAGGAATTGCAGATGGTTTTGAAATGCAGATGGAGAAAGGAAGCAGTCGAGGTGTCTGAATTGATGGTAGTGCCCTTTACTGAGATAAGGGATCCAGGAAAGTAGTTGGTCTGGGTTGGAGAAAGAAGCAGTTGAGGGCAATGTCAAAGTGTCTGAATTGATGGCAGTGCCCTTTGCTGAGATAAGGGATCCAGGAAAGTAGTTGGTCTGGGGTGGGTGGGTGATGAGATCAGTTTGGGACATTGAATCTGTCTGAGATAGGTGTGTCTGCCCCAGTAAACTAGGTGATTTGAGGACAAAGACCAAATCTGATTCATGTGCAAAACCCCCGCATGTGGTGTGGCCAAAAGCAGGATCTTAAGAAATGTCCATGGAAATGAAACAGAGCCAAGGCCCCGGGAGAGGTTGTTGACCTTCACCCTTCTTTTTGGTCACCCCAACTCCTGGCCCCAGAGCTCTGCTATCCTGACTTCTGGTCTTTCCTGAGCATCTTGTCTCCCCCACAGAGAACCTCTGGAGCTCCTACCTGACCAAGGGGGTGATTGTGGAAAGGCAGGGGATGCCCTCAGTGGGCCTGGCTGATGGCACCCCTATCGACATGGACCATCCTTATGTCTTCAGTGATATGACCTCCTACTTCACTCTGCTGGTTGGCATCTACTTCCCCTCAGTCACAGGTGAAGGGGAGCTCAGAGAGGGAGGACTCTGGGTGTGGATGGGTGGGAGACAGTCAAGGATTATGTGGGGAATTTCTTGTCTAACAACCCCATCACATAGGCAGGAGCCGACAACTCAGTTCTCATTGGGCGGATGAGGGAATTAAGGCCAGGAGAAGCCAAGTAACATGTCCAAGTTCTCACAAAAATCCGTGTACCAAGACCAGATCCCAGGCTTCCTGACTCCAAAGCCGGGGTCCTCTCTCCTCAGTCTGTCTGGTCTCCTGTGGCTCCTGTCCCAGCTGCTCTGTTCACAGGGATCATGGCTGGTTCTAACCGCTCTGGAGACCTGCGGGATGCCCAGAAGTCAATTCCCACTGGCACCATCTTGGCCATCGCCACCACCTCTGCTGTCTGTATCCTGCACCGCTGGGCTGGGACCACAGTGGGTAGGGAGGGCTAGAGGGCAGGCAGCTGCTTCCTCACCTGCTGGCTCAGGAGGGGTGGCGATGGAGAGGAATACAACCCTAGGAATTCTCCTTCATTCTCTGCTGCAGATATCAGCTCTGTTGTTCTGTTTGGGGCCTGCATTGAGGGGGTCGTCCTGAGGGACAAGTAAGTAAGGGAATCAGGGCTGATCCTGTTCTGGGGGGTGGGCATAAGGGGCTGAGTTCTGGGAAACAGACCCGACAGAGGGTGCTGAATCTGTGCGAGAGGGCTTGTGGGAGGGAGGCCAGAGAACTGCTTGTCAACTCACCTTCTTATATTTCATCTTTCTCATGTTGCTTCAGCTCAAGAAGCTTGAATGACGTCTCTTTTTCCTTTAGGATACTGACACTTTCCTTTTCTTTTTCTTTAAAATCTATTAATTCATTTACTATTTCCCGGATATAACCATGTGTTGGTCACTGTCCAGGGTCCTGGGGAGAACAAAATTAAACAACCTATGGCTTTTGTCCTGAAGGATCTCTTTGTGCATGGTAACCGTAGTTGTCAACAGACTTGAAATGCAGAGCAGTAGGGGTGGCGATAAAATAAAGCACATGCCCTATGGAAGCACATAGGAGGCTGCAATCCAGTCCTCAGAGGGGCGGGGAGGAGGAGGTGATGCTAGAGGTGCCTCATCCACATTTTCTCATTTATCCTTCCTACTTTAAATGTTGAGTAGAGATTACTTAGGTGTCTAGAAAGGGAAAGATCATTCCAGGCAGTGGGAACAGCAGAAACAAAGATGGAGGAGAGAAACAACTAAGAGTGTGTGTGTGTGTGTGTGCGTGCGTGCGTGCGTGCGTGCGTGTGTGTGTGTGTGTGTGTGTGTTTGACCACACAAGTGCCTGTAGCTATAAGTAGTTAGATCTTCTGGAGCATACACTTCTGAAGAGTGTGTACATACACAACCAGGAGGGTGAGGTAGGAGATTCTATTCCAGAAGCCAGTTTCTGTGGTCCCATCCTGGCTTCTATAAGGTGGGGAATGGAGGACATGAGGCTGGAGAGTTAGGCTGGAGCCAGTCTTGGAGGCCTCATTTTCAGTACCAGGAAATTGGAGCTTTATTTTATAAAAAATGGGGGAAACTCTGAAGGGTTTTAAGTGACCTGGCCAAATAGATGATTTATATATATTACACCTATTAGTTTTTAGGGCAACTTAAACTCTACTTATCTCATTTTGCTTAATCAGAGACCTCCCACAAGATTGCAAGGGGTTCAACAGGTCATCCAGTATAATTCATCATCTCATCCTTTTGTATGAAATGGGTTTATAATGATTCTCATTTTATAGTTGAGGAAACTGAGGCAAGAAGAGGTTAAATGACTTGCCCAAGGTCACACAGACAGAAAGTGCCCAGAACATCAGGGCCTTTGTCTCTCCCTTTGTCCCACAAGGGCCTAGCGCTGTGGAGGGCGGACAGCTGAACCTGAAGATGGTATGGGAGACCTGCCCTGGAGATCCAGGTGCCACTACTCACCTACCATCTCCTGTCCCTTTGCTGCTTCATTCCAGGTTTGGCGAAGCTGTGAATGGCAACCTGGTGGTGGGCACACTGGCCTGGCCATCCCCCTGGGTTATCGTCATCGGATCCTTCTTCTCCACCTGTGGGGCTGGGCTGCAGAGCCTGACAGGGGCCCCACGCCTGCTGCAGGCCATCTCCCGGGATGGCATTGTGCCCTTCCTGCAGGTCAGTGGAGGGCAGAGTGTGGGGAGAACAGAACACTCCTTACACCAGCCATCCAGGCCCCCGCCCAGAGAGGCTACGTGGTGAGCCAGGGACATGGCAAGCCTTGAACTGCCTTCTGGGGCCCTTCTGCTCTGTGCTGCTGTTACAAAGAATGTGTGTGCTTTATTTGGGATTTGGCCCATGGCCAGTGCCATCTCTTTAGGCAGAGTCGTCTGCTCTTAGGGGAACAATAAATGGCCCTCCTTTGGTCTAGCGATCGGGCAGGGACTCAAGGAAGCAGCCAAAGGGCAAGAAAGGGGCAACGCTCTCCATGGAGCTTAAAAAAAAAGATTGATGGTGCACACAGTCACGGCCTCTTGCTGGCCTCCTGTAGTTCCTCTCCCATCTGTCCTCCTCATTTCCCCTTAAGGGATCATTTGAACTTTATTGCACTGGGGTACCAATGTCAGGGTGGGTGAGATACAGCAAAATCCTGGTATTCCCTTGGGTACCGCTAACATCTGAGAAATACAGCATCCTCTCCCTACCTCCTCGTTGGTTTGGGGACCTTTGCCTCTAAAGCACTGGTCCCCAAGACTGGAGGAGACACAAGAAGTCCATAAGGTCTCAGGCCCTCATGACGGTTGCCCTGTCCTCAGGTCTTCGGCCACGGCAAAGCCAATGGAGAGCCAACATGGGCCTTACTCCTGACTGCCTGCATCTGTGAGATCGGCATCCTCATTGCTTCCCTCGACGAGGTCGCCCCTATTCTCTCTATGTGCGTGCTCGCTGTGACCCTGGACAGCCCCCCAGACACAACTCCAGGAGGTCCCCCACGGTCATGGAAACCCATCCTTTGTTATACAGAGATTTATCCCCATATGTGTCAGGGTGTGTTGTAAGGGGATTTGGCCTTTGAACCCCTTCCTAATCACCAGAACATGATTCGGCCACCCCCCAACATTCCTTTCCCCTTTTCTCCCTTTCTTCCTCTATGTTTCTCTTTCTGCCTCTCCTTGCATCTCTGTCTCTCCTGGGGGCCCTTCTGCGTTCCAGGTTCTTCTTGATGTGCTACATGTTCGTGAACCTGGCCTGTGCAGTGCAGACGCTGCTGAGGACACCCAATTGGAGGCCACGCTTTCGATATTACCACTGGTGGGTGCCATGTTCCCCCTCCCTGCCCCACAGAACCATCCTCTCATCCCATCCCAATCCCCACCTCACCTAGCCCATCCCCTCCAGGTCTAAGAGTCCCAAACTCCAGCTTTGGTAACCCAGCTAGCATAAGAAAGTTCTGGAGAAGGTTCCCTTATAATCACTAATAATAACATAACACAGTCATAAATGGTTTAAGCTGTAATCCGTCCCCTGTCCATAATGTTCACCATCTTACCATATGGGTGAGGAAAGATCAGTGTCTTCAGCTGTGAAATGGAATGATAACTGCCCTTACCTCATAGGGCCCTTGTGAGCATCACAGTGCTTGGTGCCCGGAAGATGTGGAGGCTGGGGTTCTTCTGGTCATTTTACTTTAAGCTTCTTCATCCTCACAATAGGCCCATGGGGCAGACAGAACGGGAACGATCATGCTTATTCTGCCAAAAGGAAACAGAGGCTTAAACAGGGGAAGGAACTGGCTCAAAGCCTCCCGGCAAGACTGGCATATCTGTACTAGAACCCAGGTGCCTGACTCGCACTGAGTGCTCCTGCTTTGCCAGTCACCTCTTCCTGGGGGCACACTCTTCCTGGGAGATCCTGCTTCAAACTCTCCCCAGAGACCCCTGCCCCAGGACCCACCTGGAAGGGCGGTCTGGCAGGGTCTAAGGCTCTGGGGCAGGGCAGGGTGCTGACTCGGGAGGTGGGTGGAGCGTGGGCTGGTGCCCTGTCTGTGGCTGCTCGTCTGTCTGAAAGGTGCCTTATCTCTGCGGTGCTCATGGGGGTGATGGCGTGAGTTCCCCTAGACATGGCTATGCCCTTCAGCTCTTGCCCAGGCCCTGCTTCATCTAACTCTTGCTGTCTGAGCCCTGGAACCAGTGACAGCCCTGCCAGGGCTCAGAGGCCGGGTCTCCTTCCCATTGTGTAGGACACTCTCCTTCCTGGGCATGAGCCTCTGCCTGGCCCTCATGTTCATCTGCTCCTGGTATTACGCCCTGGTGGCCATGCTCATTGCCGGGCTCATCTACAAGTATATTGAGTACCGTGGGTAAGTGTAGGAGGAGGGGAGGAGTGGGAAGGGGGATGGGTGGTTGGGGGCTGGGATGGAGGTGAAGCAGGCAGTGGATCTAGAGTGGAGGAGAAGGGGTGACATGGGGTAGGACTGGGAGATAGGGGACAGGAGCAGAGAGAAGGGGCTGAAGCTTTGAGAAATGAAGGTGTCAGGAGCAACATGCATGTCTTGTCTGAGCCTGAGATAGAAGGCTCTGCCCTGAGGTGGCCACTTCAGCGTGGACCATTCTACCTGACACTCCCTGGCTTTCTGCCCTCACATGATCCCCTTCCTGGCCCCCAGGGCGGAGAAGGAGTGGGGCGATGGGATCCGAGGCCTGTCTCTCAGCGCTGCTCGCTATGCCCTCTTACGCCTGGAGGAAGGGCCTCCGCACACCAAGAACTGGAGGTAAGCGTGGGAGCACATGTGTGAAGGCTCAGTGAGGAAGGGAGCAGGCCCTGACCTACCTCACCTGCTTTGTTCTGCTGAGTGGTGCTCCTGCCCCAGTGGTACGTCCTCAGCCTCTCAGCTCAGCTCCATCCAAAACCTTCCCACCTACAGCACCGAGGCTGGGCTGAGTTCCAGACATTTGTTCTCCAAAACTGCCACTCCAGTTTTCTGGCCATCTAGTCATCCATTCATTTATTCTGTTATTTATTTTAAAAAATGTATGAATGCATGAAATGTGCCAAGCCCTCTTCTGGTCTGGGGATAAAGTGAGTTCACAGTTCTGTGAAGAAGGCGCATACAGAGACAGAGAAACACAATATCATGTAGCATTTGCTCTGGGAGAGGTGGGATCAACCACTTTGAGAGTTATAGGGTCTCCGAGAAATCTCTAGATTTATAACAATCGCCCGCCCCCCATTTTTATTCATGTGAAAGTCAGGGACCAGAGAGGGTTCAGAAGTCATAAAAGGCAGAACTGGAACCAGCATCATCAACTCCTGCATCTCAGCCCAGGGTGCTTCCTAACCAACTGCTGTGCAAGCCCAACCCCTCATTTACCTCCCTCAGGTTCTCTTTGCCAAGAGCAAAGCCTGGAACTCTGAATTATACCTAGGACATCATTGTCTTGTCTTTGCTGATGTCTACTAAACTGGGGCTTCCAAAGACCAGAGCTTCGAATTATTTGTCTGTGAATTCTCAAATGCTTAGCACAGGGTCTAGCCCAGAGTAGGTGCTTATTAAAAATGCTATTAAATTGATGGGTGGTTGGATGAATAAGATGGATAAATGAATAAGAAAATCAATGGATAAATAGACAGGCGGATGGCTATGCGTGTACATATATATATGAAGGGCGGTTGGGTGAATAGATAAATGTATAAATCAATGGTGGTAGGTTGATGTATGGGTAATTGAGTGAATAATGCATGTATAGGTAAATGAATATAGATATAAGTGGACGACTGAAGGATAAAATAGATGGGTGGGTGGTTGAGTGGATGGATGGATGAGTGAGGTAGATGGAGAAATGGATGAGTGGACGGATGGATGTGTGGGAGAGGTTGAATGGGTTGATATTCAAGGAAATGGGTGGGTGGCTATTTAGGTGAATGGATGGGCGATGGGAATGTAGGTAGATGTGGGTATAGAAGATGGATGATTAATGAACTCACTGGTGTATAGGTGTATGGTGGGTGGTGGTTGGGTGGGTAGTAGAAGGATCATGTGACTTTGGACCCTCTTCAGGCCACAGCTGCTGGTGCTGGTGCGTGTGGATCAAGACCAGAATGTGGTACACCCACAGCTGCTCTCGTTAACATCCCAGCTGAAGGCAGGCAAGGGCCTGACCATTGTGGGCTCTGTCCTTGAGGGCACATTTCTGGACAACCACCCCCAGGCCCAGCGGGCAGAGGAGGTGAGTGGAGGCCCTGGCGGATGACAGTCCTTGCCCCTTTATACTTTCCTTCCTTCCCACCCGTGGGATCCATGGGGGCTCAGACTTTACTGTCCTTTTACTTAGAAGAGGGGTCTAAGGGCTTAGGGAGTGAGTTCCTTAGAATCCACTCACAGAACCAAAGACCATCAGAGGGGCCCATTTTATGGATAAGGAAACTAAGGCTTAGAGAAGCCAGGTCCCTGGTCTAGACAGAAAACAGAGACTCAGATTAGGACTGCTTGACTCCTACTCCAGACTTCTCCCTGCCAAAGTTAAACCTTTCAAAGTGATTTCACATCCGTGGAGTCAGCAAGGTGAGTAGCCACGTCTGGCACAGGAAGAAACTATGGAGCACGGAAGGAAAGCAACTTGCTGGAAGTCACAAAGCTGGCTGGAAGCATAGTCAGGATTCGAACATGGGTCCCTGGCTCCATGTCACCTGCTTTTGTCCCCCTCCACTGGCCCATGCTCACAGAGCAGTGTACGGAGTCATGTGGGCTGGGCCGGCCAGCGTCTCCATTAAGAGGCACTAACAGGTGTCAGAACCCGGTGGGTAGCAAAGGAAGTGGGTTCTGTTTACGATTCGGGCCTCTCTCCCCTCGGGCTGTGACCAGTTGTGGAGAGAGGAAAGGGGGCCTGAGTGAGATGAGGTGATCTGGGTAGGGGCACCCCTAATGGCTTATGACAGTTGCTGTTTCTGCCTCACTGGGCCGTTCACACCAATCTGTCAGAGCCCAGAGCTGGAGGCTTCCACTGGTTAGTTTAATTCAAGGTGCAGTGGCTGAGGATGTGCTGTGCACCAGGCACTGAGCTAGTCACGGGGGAGATGGAGATGTATGAGACCAAATCATAGCCCTCAATGCGGTCACTCAGGGCTGGTGGGGAAGATGGAACATTCACAGAAGGTGCTCAATTCATTTGATGCTGATAGGTGCTATGCTACCGTTTACGATTTGTCAGGCAGTATACTAAGCCCTTACCCCACATTATGTCATGTAATGCTCTTTATTCCTAAATGAAGTAGCTGTTGTGATTCCCACTTAACAGATGAGAAAACTGAGGCTCAGAGAGGTTAGGCGATTTGCCCAAGGCCTCACAGCCAGGAGGTGGCAGAGGTAGGAATTGAAGCCTCTCAGTTTAACATCGGGGTAGTAGTTAAGAGTGTGGGGGCTGGGTCAGACCCTTGGAGTTGAACCCCTACGATAGCAGCCATTAGCAGTGTGGCCTTAAGCAAGTTTTAATTTCTCTGAGCCTCAATTTCTTCATCTGTAACATGAGAGTAATAAAACCACTTTTGTCATAATGCAGATTAAATGCTAACTTAAAAAAATTGTTAAACAAAGTGGCCATGCAGAGGAGCCCAGTTTCACTCTGGGTGGGAGGTGGCATCTGAAGAAGGTGACATTTGATTTAGGTCGGGCAGTGGGGAGGGGGTCTAGGTGGTGGTGGAGAGCTTGCAGGATGGTGGGAAGTGTGGGGTTCAGTCATGAAGAGCTTTGATTGATCAACAAGGAATAGGGGGCCATAGATGATGGGCGGCCATGCACAACTCTGGCACCAGAGGCTGACATGGTCACAGCTGAGCTTCAGGAAGATCAGAACGATGGAGGGAAAAGATGGGAGGAAGGGAGGCTGCAAGTGGGTCGGGGTCGGGGAGGCCTGAGGCTGGTTCGTTCCTGACGCCCCTCCCCCCACCCCCAGTCTATCCGGCGCCTGATGGAGGCAGAGAAGGTGAAAGGCTTCTGCCAGGTAGTGATTTCTTCCAACCTGCGTGATGGCGTGTCCCATCTGATCCAGTCCGGGGGCCTTGGGGGGCTGCAGCACAATACTGTGCTAGTCGGCTGGCCCCGCAACTGGCGACAGAAGGAAGATCATCAGACCTGGAGGAACTTCATCGGTAAAGCTGGGCGGGCTGGGGGCGCTGGAGCGCTGGGGGCGGTGGTGGATCAAGTGGAGGGCTCTCGGTTCTCCTTTGAGCCTGGGGCTGTTTCCCAGGCATGACAAGGGTGGATTCAGCATATGCGGGTGACCAAAGCAGCCATGTGCCAAGCACTGTGCTGGGTGCTGGGGACCCAGGTGTGAAGGAGACTGTCTTGGCTCCTACTGAGCTCACAGCCCTGGAAGAAGACAGTGCATGGCTGTAGGAAGAGCTACAGCTCTGAAGTCTCAGAGGCCCCGGTTTAAATCTTACCTCTGGTCCTTCCTAGCTGTGTGATAGTTCACAAGTGACTCACCCTCTCTGAGCATCAGAGTCCTTGGTAGTAACAGTTGGTAATGGTAATATAATAACTAACATTTATAGACTGCGTTCTGTGTGCCAGAGGAGTTGAAGCTTTTTCTAAGTCTCTGATTCAGCAGTGCTGTGAGGGCTAGATGTTGTTACCTCCATCTTATGGGTGTGAAGCTGAGGCACAGAGACATTAAAGAGTTTGCTGGTATATCCAGAGGCTGCACTGTTAACTCCAGGCTATTTTTCCTCCTTTATAGGTAGATAATAGTTACAAGGTGGTTGGGAGGATTAAATGAGGCCATGCATGGTAGAGTTTTTAATGATCAGAAAGGGCAGGTGATGCTATTGTCCCTTGACAGGTGGGGAAACTGAGGTGCAGAGAGGTTAAGGGGCTTTTCTAAATCCAAATAGCTAATAAGTGACGAGGCCCAGGTAGATGCTGGTTTTCTGACTACTCAGTCCAAGGCCAAGGTGGGGTAGGGTGAGGTAGAGTGGGGTTCAGGAGTCCCTGTGGCTGCTGCTAGGTGCAGAAGGAGACCAGGGTCACTGTTTTCCTGTCTGACCTTCTCCTTGGCCTCCCCCAGAGCTGGTCCGGGAAACCACTGCTGGTCACCTGGCCCTGCTGGTCACCAAGAACGTTTCTATGTTTCCCGGGAACCCCGAGCGCTTCTCCGAGGGCAGCATCGACGTCTGGTGGATCGTGCACGACGGAGGCATGCTCATGCTGCTGCCCTTCCTGCTGCGGCATCACAAGGCGAGTGTATGTGTGTGCGCGTGTGTGCGTGTGTGTGCGTGTGTGTGTGTGTGCATGTGCACATGTCTGTGGGCGAGGCTCACAGGCTCTGGCCAGGGCCGGCCTCCTTGTAAGCTCCTGGCAAAGGGATACGATCGCCTCCTCTGTTTTGATGTTAGGAACTGACACTGTCTCCCGTGCAGGTGTCCTTGCCTTGTAAAGGAGAGCAATGCTCAACCCAAGCAAGCGACACGTTAATGGGGACCCTCACCTCCAGGGGAGTTTTTGTAGGGAGTGGCCACTGAGATAGAGGATTTGCGTCTGCATGTATGTGTGGCCAGGTGGGTGGGAAGGGAGAGGGACAAGGTCCTCTCTCGGTTCTGGCTCTGGATCTCCTCACTGCATCAGGGCTGGACCTTTCTGGGTCTCCTTCTCCCCTCTAGGTCTGGCGGAAATGCAAGATGCGTATCTTCACTGTGGCCCAGATGGACGACAACAGTATCCAGATGAAGAAGGACCTGACCACATTTCTGTACCATTTACGTATCACTGCAGAGGTCGAGGTGGTGGAGATGGTGAGCGCCCAGGAGTCACCCCTAAAGTTTCGGAGTCCCACCCACTTGGCCCCCTTTTGTCTCTGTCCTAGCACCAATTAAGGCAACCCCAACAACCATCAGCTTATGATGCTGGATCCCTTCCCTCACATCCACTTCTTAGCCTCTCACATTTTTACCCAAGTGTCTGTACATCTGTCCGTCCATCCATCCCTTCCTCCCTCCCTCCCTCTCTTCTTTTGTAAGAATAGCCATGTCTAATACTGCTCATGATATGTCAGGCACTGTTCTGTGTACTTTATATATGTTGGTTCTCGTAGCAACTAATGAAATAGATACAATCATTAGAATTTCCATTTTAGGGAGTTGAGGTACAGAAAGGTTAAATAATTTGCCCAACAATACACACTAAGTGGCAGAGCCAGGGTTCAAAGCCAGGCAGGCTTGCTCTAGGATTACACTATATAACTTCTCATCCATCTATTACCCTCAGTTTATTTATCCATCCACCCATCCCTCTGTGTATTCACTAATCTACCCATATGTTTATTAATGTAGTCATTCACTCATCCATCTATTCATTCATGTATGTATTCATTCATCTCTTTGCTCCTTTTTAATTTCTTCCCTTTTCTATTCATGCAGGTAATTCATTCATTCATTCATTCATTCACCTGTTCATATGCCAGGTCCTGTGCTGGGCTGAGGAGGGAATGAGATCCATTGCCTTCAAGGAGCATCATCCTTGCCTCCGACAATTGTCAATTAAACTAGGTCATTGGCTAGGGAAGCGCTAGGCTGGCAGAAGGAAGGGGGCCTGCTTCCCTTCCCTCAGCCTTGCACCTGAGCTCAGCTCTCATGCTTTGCTCCCATGCCCCCTCACCCCTCCCTCTTCCCTGTCTGCCTACAGCATGAGAGTGACATCTCAGCTTACACCTACGAGAAGACATTGGTGATGGAGCAGCGTTCCCAGATCCTCAAACAGATGCATTTAACCAAGAACGAGCGGGAGCGGGAGGTGAGGTTGCCCTGGCTGGGCTCTCAGAACCTCAAGCTGCTGCCAGCTCTGGGTCTGCTCAGAGTTGGCACTCCTGGCCATTGGCACTGTCATCTTCACCTAGAGCATTACTCATCACCCTTATTCCTCCTGGCACTGGGCTCACTGGCAGTGGGGTTACATATTGGAACTGCACCTAGCACGCCCCCCAGCCGGATGCAGAGGGGCTGTGGCATGGGTGACGTATATTCCCCTCTGTGTATGACTTCTGGGGCCCAAGGGAGAATAGGGATCCTAAATACGTATGGACGTTGGATGAGCTGCCTGTGTAGGAGACAAGGGATCATGTGACAGTTCCTCAGAGAGTGGGTAACAGATGGATATTTAGGGATGTAGCTGATGGTGGGAGTTAGGGGTAAACCTCCAAGAATGTGGTGAATGGGTTCTCAGGGGTAATGATGATGAGCCTTCCATGGGGTATGGGTGTAAGATCTCCTATGTAGGGGTAATACGGGACCATGAGTGCCCTGGAGTTTGGATAAAAGTCCCTCCCCAGGGAGTGGGGTCCTTGGGGAAATGAATGATGGTACCTCAGGGCTGGGGATAGAAATCTCTCAGAGATGAATGAGTGACAGGTTGCCTGGGGAATGGCAGATCTTATAGGTGAGGGTGACAGACCATGGTTGATGAGTCTTCCAGGTGTGGATAATATATTTCTCAGATAGTGTTTGATAGATCCTCAGGAGGATGACTGATGGCTTCCTCTTTGATCTGAGAAAGAGGTCCCTCAAAGGATGTTATCCAGGGGTGATAGCAAAAATCATAAGAAATGGCGTATGCACTGACCAATCAGAACTGACACTGGACCATAGTGCTAAGGTGGAGCCCTGCAGGGCCACATGCTAACCCTTTGGTTGCCAGATGGCAGGGAGGTGAGGGGTTTTGGAGAGGAATTGCAGTGGCCAGGTCAGTGAGGCAATAGCTATTTGGTATGGAAGCACTGCAGTGTGTTAACGTTGGTACAGTTCCGGAAAGTGTGCATCCTGGCTGAACATCAGCTCTGGTGGTAGCTCTTTGCAACGCATGGGTGATGACTCCCAGCAGAGCTGGCACCAACCTTTGTTTCTCCCTAGATCCAGAGTATCACAGATGAGTCTCGTGGCTCAATCCGGAGAAAGAATCCAGCCAACACTCGGCTCCGCCTCAATGTCCCAGAAGAGACGGCCGGTGACAGTGAGGAGAAACCAGAAGAAGAGGTGTGAAGCTGGGGTGGTTTGGCCCCAGCCAGTGGGAGCAGAATTTTGGCCTCCAAAGGGGTCATGTGCCGCTCCTTTGTTCATCCCTCAGGTGCAGCTGATCCATGACCAGAGTGCTCCCAGCTGCCCCAGCAGCTCACCATCCCCTGGGGAGGAGCCTGAAGGGGAGGGGGAGGCAGATCCTGAGAAGGTGCATCTCACCTGGACCAAGGACAAGTCGGTGGCAGAGAAGAATAAGGGGCCCAGTCCTGTCTCCTCCGAGGGCATCAAGGACTTCTTCAGCATGAAGCCGTACGGGCTGGGGGCTAAGGGCTGGGGTCCGGGGTGAGCCTACAGTCTTTGCTCCCATGGCTGAGCAAAAGGGCAGAAGGTGTCCTGGGTTGGCAGTTGGAAGACCTAGCCCAGACCTTGTCTTGGTTTCCCCATCTGAGGACTTGGGCATCTGGCCTGATTGCTAAGGGTCAGAACTCCCAGGTGCAGACAGTGGAAAGGTGAAGCCTGCGGAGGCTGGGAGAGCAGGGCCAGTGTGTAGTCAGGGTGGATGATGTTGGCTCACGTACCCAGCCACTCCTGCTTTTTCTGACCCCTTTCTTTTTCTTCCTCTCTGCTTCTCTTGTGTTTCCTGAAGGGAGTGGGAGAACTTGTAAGTGCTACAGAATTTTTTATTCTCTCTCCTTGGTTGGTCAGTGTCACTTACTTACCTCACTCTACCACGAACCTTCAATTTATGCCCCTGACTTCTGGGGTCTCTGACTAGCTGAGCTTGGAGAGGTCTGGGGTTGGTGGTCCCTGGCTTGCAAGGATCGGGTCCCAGCAGCCCAGTGCACCTGGACCCAACTCTCCCCTCTCCCAGGCTTCACGCGCCCTCCTCCCCTCCTTCCTCCCGCAGGAACCAGTCCAACGTGCGGCGCATGCACACGGCTGTGCGGCTGAACGAGGTCATCGTGAAGAAATCCCGAGATGCCAAACTTGTTTTGCTGAACATGCCTGGGCCTCCCCGCAACCGCAACGGTGATGAAAATTGTATCCTGGACTTAAAATTGGGGGGAAGAGGGAGGTGTAGGTCAGTGCATTTTGGTCCCTAGCCTCGGGATGGAAGAGCTGATCCGGTCTGGCTTCAGGATCAGCACCTCGGACAGGGACGCGGGTCTAGAATTCCCTGGGAGCCCAACGCGACCCAAATCCATCGGGAGGGAATGGGACAGGTCTTTCTCCTTGACCGGCACTCAGACATGGAGTTCCTCGAGGTCCTCACCGAGCACCTGGACCGGGTGATGCTGGTCCGCGGCGGCGGCCGCGAGGTCATCACCATCTACTCCTGAGAGCCAGGACCTGCCACCCGGGCCCTAGCGCGCCCGGCCCGCGGCCCCGGAGCCCTCGCCACGCCCCCCGCCGCTGTCACCGTTTACATACAGACCCTGTGCCCGCACCCTGGCTCCTTTCCCCGTCGCCTGAAGCCCGGAGACCACGTCCATCGGGGTTGACTCGGAGAGGACCGCCCCCCACGCGGAGACGAGAGCCCCGAGTCCCCAGCTGGCGCGCGCCGTTCTGTCGCTCCGGCTGCGCTGCCCTTTTTCTAAGCCGGGCCTCGCCCCGCTGGAGAAGCTGCAATAAAGGGCGAGAGGAGGCGTGGAGAGGAGCTGGGGCTATGAGGACCCCTAGGTAGTCCACGCGGCCCCTTCTCCTCTTCCCACGCCCCGCCCTGCCGGGGTGGGTCCTGCTGTGCGCTGCGCCCGCACCGCTCCCGGCTCCTG